ATCTCTAGCCAGCCTGCATATACTAAAGACTGGTCTGCCATATCAACACCACTCTGGTTACCCTGCTAGCATGAGTAAGTTTGGATGTAATCACACTTCTGCTTTATGGTGTTTTATTTCACATCTCTGTTTTACTGCAGTGTTACTATGTGGGGTTTGTTTATACACTTTAAACAGCTTGATCGGAAAATATATAAACTCTGTTTAAATTTGACTGTTTGTAAAGAGGTGATGGAAAGGTGGTTGTGGTGCTCAAGAAACCAGTATTATTACTAAATTTAATTTCCAGTATGCAAAGTTGTTTGCTTCTTTAAACCAGGAGGTAGTCTCAAAATATGCCTTACTCTGGCCAGTTTTACACCAGGGTTAAGTAAAATGCAAATTGCAGTCAGTGTTTGCTGCTGAAAAGCTTTGATCATGGTGGATTCGATGTAAATGGTGATCAAGGCTGTTGTTACATATATTATCCTACAGTGTGTGAGTCTTAACATATGCTGCAGTTTCAGTGGACCAGTTCCCACATCTTTCCAGTAAGCAGTGAGCAGAAAATTCAAATGAGTACTTACATTTACCAATGGCAGAAATAATAATATTTTTAATCTGAAAAATACAGCTGCTTTACTTCAAATGGAATTTAAAATCTCATTGTAGCTGATAGCTATGTTTTATTTTGTGGCCTTTTGAATAGACAGTTTTATGGAGCAGAAAAATGCTTCCGAGAAGACGATCTCAGGGATGTTACTGTTTTATCTGCGGTGACGTAAGGCAGGAGCACACAACTCAGCATTTTTCTTCTTTAGAATCTTACATTAATTTATTTTGACAGTATTTCCAACCCGTATAGTAGCTTAGAACTATCTGTTTGTGCTACCTTCCAATTTTAGACAAGCAAGGCTTTGCGTGAGACTGTTAATTTGGCAAAGGGCATGGGTTCACATTTGGTTTTCATAGACTGATAGATTTAAAGGCCAGAAGAGACCACTATGATCATCTAGTCTGACCTCCCAATTCAATCAGGGCACAAGCCTCACGCAATCATTACTGCAACATGATCGTGATTTCAGTGTGAGCTAGATAACCGCTTAAAAATGTGATTAGTCCTGAGTTGCCTTCCTCTAATTTTTGGCATTAATTTTTCCAACTTAAACCCTAGTCCCTGGATCATATCATTTTATAGGCATGCAGAGTCAAAATGAAACACTATCCTTAACTGTCCTTTTCAATTACATGTCTGTGATTTCATCTACTCAGATTTTTCCCAAGATTATAGGAATATTTGTGTTGTATAGTTGTCAGACCATGGTAAATGGACAGTAAGCATTCTTTTAACTTTACACTGGATGTTGTAAAAACAGTTCCAAAGCACGCATGGAATGTCAAGATCCTGAACTAGCTCTGCATTGGTAAGTCAGGAAACATTCAGCCTTGCTTTTGCTTTTTGAGAGCAGTTTGCCATTACTGAGTTAACATGCGTGAAGCCATTCCACAGAGCAAATGCATAGCAACTATTGTGCTTCTTTAAACAACAACAACCCTAGTGTTTCTAAGATCAGTTTTTAATAGATAACAATGAAAATTAGCAACTGGCAAAAAAAAAAAAAAAAAGATAAGGAAAGGCAGGTGCAAACGTTTAAGAAATTATTGTTTACCTAGAACATTTCTGAAAATACAGTTGTAATTTGGTTCACCTAATAGAACAGCTGTAGACTAGGTGGGAAGAAGGAAGATATTTTGAATAAGGTTATCTGCTACGGATTTTCACATGTACTCATCATAGTGTGAGAGCACACTTTCTTCAAACGTGGTTACAATTCACTCTCTCAGGAATTCTGGTCTACATCAATTGGATCAATTTTACAAGATGGCCAGAGCCCCAAATCTGGCACTGTGGTTTTACACAACCAAGTTCCAGGTGTGGATGTGAAATGAGGTTGCAGCACTTTAGAAAGTCTGTGAGCAAACTTCTCCTGAAATTTAAATGTTCAGGCTTTTTCTGAGTTCGCCTATGTGGAGTAAAGAGAGGGGGCAGAGCTCAAATTCTGCTTCTGCTACCTACTATCAAGTGATAACCAAAGTGGTACCATGGTCTGTATGGGAATAAAATAGGGGAAAGTGCTAGAGGAAGATACTGACAAGAGAAAATCTGGGTAAACGTACTGCGAGCATTGATCATGTTTAATGACCTTTAAGATTTTCAAGTCAGTCAACTTTTAAGAGCTGCCATTCAGTACTGGCCTAGTGAAACTAGAAAGATTAATTAATTTCAGAAAGGAGCCACCAGGTTCTTGTTGTCTTGTAAAGCATTTGTATAAACTGATGTTCTTAACAGAAGTTAAACAAAATTCTGATCATTCTTGACTTAAAAAAACCCAATCCCTTGTATGGAAACAAAATTCCAGGCTTTCCAGATTTAAAATGACACAGTTCAAGGAGCTAGTGATGGGAACTCCAGTTTTTCTAAGGCTACTCACTTGTTATAGTTACCTTCCATTTTCATAGTCAGGAAATGCAGAGGATATCAAGAGACTGTGTGAAGCCATAATAATATATATGGTTTAATGTTTGTATTCACTGGACAGGAAACTTATTCTAAGATTTTGTTCTTTATCCAGGATATGTATCCAGGAATATAGATTATTATATCCAGGATTTGAAAATATCCTGAATATAATAATCTGTATATAATCTATGGGTCAATACATTTCTCTTTCAGAGCAAAATACTGAATCTTCATGTATTAATGGCCTTAATTGAAGATCACTAATTTTCAGTTATCTAAAATCACTGAATGTTCCATAATTGTACAAAATTAAAATATAATATTAAGAAGTTATATAAATAACATTTCAAGACTATTTGCACATTTGGATCATCTTAAGGAACTGTTTTTTAAAGACAAACGTTATCTGATACTGTAACTGTATATGGTATTTTGACTTTGCATGAGTCTCAACCCTACAAAGGGACATCTGACAGCACAGCAAACATGCCTTTGCAATTAAGATTGTTCACAGTACAGCTTATGGAATTCTAAGATACAGCTCAAACAGTTCAGTAAGGATGCCCATTCTTGTTATTCTGTGTTTTAATGGGCTATAAAATAAATGTAGTGTAGAAGGTACTTTTACAGCCATTGATACACGATATGCATGACTGTGCTGGGAAGAAAACACCAAAATTAGGTGTTTCAAACATCCACCACGCTTCTCAGAAGGGTTATGTATGGAAAGCCATCAAAATCTTGTTCTTTTCTTAATGCAACAGAACTGACTGTTTCTCTGGTGCTTACAGCATCAGCCCCAGTAAATGCCAAAGTACATGAAATGTAAATGGCAATGAAATACTACCATCTTCATTTGTTTGTAGACATATGCAAGAAGGAAAAAGGAGACTGCACGGCTGCAGAAAGGGAAGGCAAGGAACAAAGTGTTTTAAAACATCATGAAATTGGCAGGGAGTAACAGCAGAAGAAAAAACACACATATTCCCCTCCTGTATGGAGGTGGTGGTTGTGGGGAGGATAATAGAAGTCAGATGAGTTACTGGTAGCTGCAGGGACTGAAATAATAGAATAGATATCTAGGAGGGAGAAGATGAGGAGGATTGAAATTATTGAAGGCTCTGCAGAGATACTACAGCCCTTGTTGGGAGAAAAGCACAAGGCCCACTTCTGGTATTCTTGTTCAATACTTCCTAGATGCTAGAGACTGCTTGGAAGACAAAGTACACTTAAAAGTCAGGGACTGTCAGCTTGTCAGGAATACCAAGCAAATGACTAATCTCACACACCTATATAAGTGAATAACTATAAGAGATAGCTTGTCATGCTAGAAGTCTCCAGGTATGTCAAAATTAAATATATGACCCTGAAGTTACTGACATAAATTAATGTTTAGAGTCAGGACTCTTTTTAATGGCTTGCTTTTTTTAATGTACTTAAAGTATATTTACAGGACCTTTTCATCTTTGTGGAAACTTTGCAGTTTATGCAAAAACATGGACTTTTCAACACCCATGTGCTTCCAGAAGCTGAAATTTCATGTAAAACAGCAGTTATCTCAGGATGTGTAGTAAAAAGTGAAGAGCTGGTTGCTGCAAGTTCCAGGGTGCACAGTAAAGTCCTGATCCCAAGGCAGCCAGACCAGGGAATGGGTCACAGCCATCACGTGCTCCTCATGTGCCTGGGTTTCCTTTCTGTGGATATAGAGGGGAGAAGGGAGGCTGAAACATTAGTTGCTAGATCTCAGTCTCATGTGCAGTTGCAGAGAGCCAGGACGCAGCTTCAGATCTGTTAGCTGGAAAACTCTCTGTTCTCCCAGAGCTGAAGATATTTATGGCAGCCATAATCAGTTGATAAACCCAGACACAAACCACAAGTTCTCTCTAAAGAACAGTTAGTGAGGGCACAATCTGTGAGTAGATACTTCATTTTTCTGTGTAGAAAGGAATTTTCTTTAGAATTATTTATTAAAAAATATAACTCTGCTGAACTAGGGGATTAAATCAATTATATCAACCCCCCACAGTACTGCAAATCCCAGGAAGAAAGCTCTGACTTGTCTACTGATCCTTACAAGTACCGTTCCAAAGGGATGTATGCTCAGAGACCTCAGTTAGCAGCTGGCTTTTAAATTTAGATGTTAGACTGAGAGCAGGAAATAAGGAATCAAAAATGTTCTCAGTCAAAATAAGCCACTTATTTTGGGGAAATATTTTAGCCTTCCTGCTCTTCTCCTTACTTGTCTTTTTTCCCCTCCTGACTAATTGCTTAATCTAGTTTTTAGTGGGTCCTTGGAAGTTCTGTTTTCTAGAACTCACTCTTATCTTGAACTTTTCTAGTCTCTTATCTTACATAGACAAAACATCTAATCTAATCAAACATGTAATGGAATATACCAAAATGAGGGTCTCATGTTCATACCTGTGTAATTAGAATTTTCAAATATTCACCTAAACATTAAATTCTTTGAAATGCTAATGTGTTCCTTTCTTTTTGACAGCAAAATTTGGAGAGTAACCTCACCAACCTTATTAAGAGGAATACTGAACTGGAAACTCTTCTGGCAAAACTCATTCAGACCTGTCAGCATGTAGAAGTGAGTACTGACCTCTGTTTGAAATAATTATAAACCTAATTAGATTCACTCCCAGTATTCAGAAGCAAAAGTTTAAACAAAAGCAAACGAACAAACAAAACACAAAAAACCCAACAAACAGCAAGTGCAGAACTGAATGAAAACAGTGGCAAACTGACTTGAAGCTTTTTCACTGATAAATGGTATTATCAATAGAGATCACCTCCTTTACATTCCTTCGTCCTGTTTTTATTATGGTGTGTTAATATGGCCTCCACCACTACTGCATTTGAGCACATCATCTGTTATCTGTAACATGTTTATCTTTTTGAGTCCTTTGTGATTTAGAGTAATATTTACCAGAAGAAAATTAAAGCAAAGAAATAGGTACACTCAGATCCACAACTACATTCAGATTTCTATTAGCCACTGTTTTGTTGTTTGGGTTTTTTAAAATCAGAATTAACTATCTAAGTACAGATATGGTGCCAGAAGTCATACACGGAACATATTTATCTTTGAAAGAAGACAGGTGCTTACAGGCCTTTGAGTTTCTTCACTTATATATTCCACTCTGAGTATCACAGAAGATCTTCAGCATGTGGAAATGTGAACCTATGTTTCCCAAACATCTGGGAAATTTTCTAGATGTCTCTATGGACATCATAATTCAGCCATGGGAGTGGACACAGGAAGAGAAGAGAGTCCAAAACAGACTCTTGTTTAGCAAAACTTTTCTTTTTACTTTTTGCCATGGAAGTTCTCCATATGCCTCGTATTTTTTGTCTTTTCTTTTTTTTTCAGACTAGAATTCAGTGACCTAATTAAGCCCAAAGGCAGCTTTTTTTTAAAATAGATTCAAAGTCACATCTTGAAAATTTGTCTTCTGCTTAATTACCTTGTTGACTGTGGGAATCATAGAATCTTAGAATTGCTGAGGGTGGGAAATACCTCTTAAGATCATTGAGTTAACCCAGCACTGCCATGTTCACTACTAAACCACATCCCCCAAGTGCCACTAATGGCATATACTGATTTCAAAAAAGGAGGGGAAAAAAGCTCACCCAAAAAAAGCAAAGCAAACAAAACCAAAACAAAAAAAACCCCACCAAACCAAACCAGACAAACAAACAAAGCCGATCAACAAACTACTCTTCCAAAGAGACTGTCTTACCAATTTTCGTGTCTGCTCCACAGCTTTGGAGCCTCACTAATTTCACGGAGCTCAATAAAACCATTAAAGTCTATCCACAATATCAGACATGAGGTGAATGGTTTAATTTCTTTGTATAGGCACCAATAACACCAAGCAGAACAACTGGAACAACTGTAGTAGGTAATGTGAGACAGAGATAAGGCACATTTTCTTCCTTTCTGTATTGATCCCCATGAAGCAGGTGGGCTCAGGACAGCATAAGGCCTCTTCTTCAATGGTGGCTTATGTCCAGATGTGCTGAATTTGCAAAATTTAAAATTGCTCCTCCATCTTCTCTACAGTTCTGCAATATATTACCAACTCTAGGGTTTAGCGTTACAAAGAATCCAACTTGTTCAACTAGTAACAGATGCGCTACTGTCCCTGGAGTCCTGTTTTAGAAAATTTCTCTGCAGACGTAAAGCAATAGCAGCAAAGTTGCTAATGAATTCCTACCATGTTTTATTCATCAAATTAGTCTAATTAGCATTTAAATTAGCTAAATATTAAGAAATGAGCTTCAGTCAAAACCCTGGACCTTGGCCGTGCTGGAAATCTGGCAAGTGGGGATGTTGGAGTAAACTTTAAAGTTATCTCTGTTCCTCAGAGCTCTGTGAAACCTTCAAATATGATGTGCATATCTCCACCATTAGGGAAGCTGTGGCTTAGATAGATTTTTTTAAAAGTCAGTACACTCTTTCTTTTTGCTTCTTTGTGATAGAAGTTCATCCCAAACCAGGAGCCCAAATGAAGTAAACAATATATTGGTTGAAACATTAATGTTGCAAATTTAAAATTGTAAATATTAGGAAAGGAAATGACTGTATTAATGTTTTCTTTTCCATTTTTGGATACACTATATTACAGATAATGATATAAAATACATTCTGCAACATTTGTAAATACGTAAAACATAGGTAGTACAGATTAAAAACTACTGTTACATACTTTGATTTTCCTTACCTAATTTGAATAAAATTTAATGTTGATTTAGAATTTGGGGGGTTTAAAATCAGTTGAGAAGAGAAGAGAAGAGAAGAGAAGAGAAGAGAAGAGAAGAGAAGAGAAGAGAAGAGAAGAGAAGAGAAGAGAAGAGAAGAGAAGAGAAGAGAAGAGAAGAGAAGAGAAGAGAAGAGAAGAGAAGAGAAGAGAAGAGAAGAGAAGAGAAGAGAAGAGAAGAGAAGAGAAGAGAAGAGAAGAGAAGAGAAGAGAAGAGAAGAGAAGAGAAGAGA